TTTAGGGTGAGTCAGACTAATAGTCTAGCCACTATAGATGGCTGATGTTAAGGAGAATAACCTCTGACCTACTTTCGCTGATCACCTATTGTACAGTCACTCTTAAGCAGCTAAGTCTGGTACATATTTTGGGGAGACAACTTAATAGAAATCCTTCTGTTCCCCACATCTACCTCCTGTGCAGTCGGCATCACAGAACCTACAGGGGCCAGTTGAGCCCCATGAGTCGGTGGGCTGGGGTACAGATGGGGGATGGTGGACTTTTCCATCCTTCAGTCCTACCAGCACCTCTAGGAAATTCTCTGTTGCCTTAAGTTCTTCCTCCTAGTTGTACCTCTAGGGAATCCCTTTCTCTCATCTTCTTCCTCCTTCTGATTGTGCTTTAGAGCCCTGACCCAGCACTGGTCCTAAGGCCTCACCTGATGTTGGGCAAAGTAGAAAGAACAGATAATAATGGAGACCTTCCTCACTGTGGTGTCCCAACTTCACGCGGCTGTGGTTCCGGTCAGTTCTGAGACAGACCAGGGAGCCACTCTGAGATGACCTCTGAGTACCAGACTTCAAGGGCCCTTCCACCTTGCAGAGTTTTCTGCAGTGTGCCAACGGTCCAACTTCTCTGTTCTCAGTGGATTCAGGACAGCTGAGCATGGAGTGTGGTCAGGCAGGATCAGCGGTGCTGCTGTTCAGGACTTGTTTGGGAGGCAAAGTGGTGGGATGACCCCTCTGTGGGGCTGTTCCTGCCCCTAGTGGGCTTGGTCCCCTGCCCAGCTTATGTCCCACCAAAAGGTGGTGGGAGAGCTTCTGACCCCTCTCGATGGACTGAGCCCCACGCTTCCTGTGTCTCCCCTCCCTTGTGGGCTCAGGTGAAGAGTGACCTGTGGGCGTACCTGAAAGAGCCCGAAGGTGCAGATTCAGTGCTGTCCTATAGTGCATTTCTGTGTTGTATTTCATCATGGGCCTTTCCCTGCAGTCTGTCTGAAAACCGGCGCATTCTAGAAGCATTTTTTGGTGCCATTGCTGCGCTGCTTCAGGTGTGCGCTGTGTTTGAGAAGAACTCGAATTTCTTAGGCAGGACTTCCAGTAACCACCTGACGTCCTGTTTCTACAGAGACATGGGTGAAAATGGACTCTTCATTGAAGGCAGCACCTTTGTTTCCAAGAAGAACCTCAATAAGGCCATTCCTTACAAGTACGTCATTGCTCAGAACCAGGGCTCTGAGGAGTATGAGTTCATCTACAAGCCGCAGCAAAGAGAGCCTGTTAACCGCTGTTTGTACATCAAGTCTTCACTTCTGGCCTCTGGCGGTAAGCCATTGATGGGGTTCCCCAACTGAACCTCCAGAGTGCAGTACCCAGGCTCTGTGCTCTGCTCCAGGCCAGTGCCAACGCAGACTTTTGTTTAATACACTGTATTTCCTGTGTGCTCAGAGAGAATGGGGGGGAGTATACTCTATATTTATGACATAATGCCTGTTTAATATTAAATTATTTTTGAAAACTCTTCATCTGTCAACTTTTAAAAGAAGTGCAAGTCTATTTTTAAGCTTGTCCACTCTAATGTTACTGGAAAGCATGGTCTGTCCATCGCTACATTAGTGCTTCCCAAAGTGGGTGTATGGGTGGCACTGGAGCAACCCAGGGATGAGGGCAGGGCTGCAAAAGCAGATGCGGACATTTTATCCTGGATTAAGGACTGTAGCACAACGAGTTCTTAATTGCCCGACAGGCTCTTGGTAATTTTCTGAAAAGGGGACGTAGGCCAAATAGGTTTGGGAATCTGGGCTAGGTGTGTCATTTTTAGAACTTCTTGGTAAATTACACCTGTGTCAATTGGGTTTGATCAGATGTTCCAAGCAGGGAGTTCAGTGCAGGGAAGCAAATGGGAGGACTGTTGTGAAGGCCGGGGGTCGGGTGGGGTGTGCTGAGTACGTTAAGTGTGATCATCTCTCTCTTTCTTTTCTTCATTCTCTCAGACTGGCATCAGTATGATGGGATAGTTTACATGCAGCCTCCTGGGATGCGTCAGCAGTCCCTGGGTGGTTTCAAAGATGAAATAAAGAAAAGCCAGGAGAAAGGGAAGCAGATTGCAGTTAGAGTCATGCTGGACAGCATCTTCAGCACCCTCCAGGCCTGGGACACCGTCAATCTGAAGAGCTTTCTCACCCAGTTGCGGCAGTTTCATGTTGCCGCCCCACAGTGGACACAGATGTGGAGCTCTTCAGACAAGGGAGAGAGTAAGGTACTGCGTTTCACTTCCGTCAGCAGTACCTCCATGTTGGATATAGGCATGTCTACCTGTGGGGTTAAGGGGAAGAGGGAACCCCACAAAACATCACAGGTTC